GTTGGACTAGATGATAGTTGTAGGTCCCTTCTAACTGAAAAATATTATATTACATTAATTATATTAATAGCTTCTACCATTGGCATAATAGTTGTAGGAAATATTTAACTTTGTATTGGGCTGATAAAAATTTTAAAATTCTCATTAAATCTCTATCCTTTCACAAGCAGGTTAATAGTTAAGGGTGTCTTCAGTTTTTGGCTTCCTGAATTAACTTCATAAAACTCTACGCTTAAAAAATTTTATATTGTCAAGTGACCTGCAGTGTCTGTAACTGAAGTAGACTGAGATTCTTAAGAATGAGTTGACCAGGTATATACTAATCAAACTCCAGTATTTTTCCTAGCTTTTAGCAATCTGGATTTTGCAGACTTCTCAAGCTTGAGGTCTGGTATCTTAGTCTTTAAAAATAGAATGGTTGGTTTGCATGCAAAATTGAACTTTTGTTGGTGAAAATCAGCGTGTAGAGATTCTAAATTCTTATACTCTTACAGTATTTCTTGGGAATTATTTTTTATATTGAAAAGAATTGGGATGTTCTCAGTTTAAATGCACTAATTTTTGTAGAGAAATAGATAGCCATAAATTGCAGTTGAGCATAACCTTTAGACTAAATGAGAGGTTTCTTTTTGCTAACCAAGGAGATATTGCTGTACCCACACATCTTTGAGGAATCATATAGTTTAACTTGCATTTGCTCATACACTAAATTCTTACATCCTTAAGGCTAAAAAATGAGAAGAGTATTTTTCATTTACTAGTCTAACTTTTGTTCATGACTTGAGTTACAATGTGGGTACAAATTGAGATAAATTAAAAATACAGAGAATCGCCAGTATTTTAAAATGGTAGCTTTCATTAACTAATTATAAATCTTACATACTCTCTCTTAGTAGTGTTGTTTTATATGAAATTATTATTCCTGATTTGGTAGAGTTCAGTGTCACATTATCTTTCAGGGTTTTATATGTAGTAAGTCCTTAGCATTTCTTAGTGAATATTTATTGTTTGGAAAAGGAAAACTACTACTTGCATATTCAACTTTCAATCATTTGTTCAGCTGAAGACGAAATAGTTATTGAACTGAACTGGTTGAATAAATAGAAATGAACAAATTCCCTTCTGCAGAAAGAGATATTACTGGCAAAATCTGGTTCTGTGACTTAAGTGATTTTTACTTCGTTTAGAAATTTGGTAGGAAGCATATCATGCAATCATTAGTTTTGATAGTAATGCATTGAGGTCTTTGTTGAGATTTTGCTGGTATGTTTATATTTGGGTTTTTTGACAGGCTTTTAACACTTTCGGTCTTTGTCAGGCTGACATTTTAGTAATTTAAACAGCAACATATTTTGTATATTTTGTTTTTAAACAACAGCTGCTTCAGTATTCTGATCTGCATTATGTTTCAGTAATTCCATATTAGATTTTGTTTCCTCTTACAAGTAAAATATTTTCTTCCCATCCTGCCAGTGCTGTGAACTTCAGTCTGAAAGTGGAGCAGACTTCTGTTCTTCATGCATTGTAGCAAAAGTTGTATGTTTAGTCTAAGAGGCCCTGCTGTGTGCTGAACAGAACACTAAGGAGTAGTATCTTGCTGCTATTCTCACCTCTGTTAGAGGTGCAAGTGGCAGAAATACTATATTGAAGAAGAAGCAGCAGCTCTTGTAAATAAACACTCTACAAAACCACAGAATTACTGGTCACCATCGATAAATCAAAGCACTTTTCCTCTAGGTAATACAGAAAAAAAATTTAGATTGGTACTACAGTATTTGTAAAAAGTAATAAATTTCCTGTCTGCTTTATTTATTACTCCCCCCCCCCCCCCGCCCTTTCAGGAGTGACAGTTCATTCAGGTTCTTTGTGTTCTTCTTTGTATATATCTGTCAGTTTGCTGTACATGTACTTCAAGCTGCAGGATTTCAAAGATGGGGAAACTGGTGAGTATTCTGTTTTCTGTAGCATTGTACTGTCTGTAAGACAAACACTCATATTTGCTATAGCAACTTCAATACAGTCTATGTGTTTTTTTAAAAAAAAATCGTGTTCACAGGAATTGTTACATTTAGCACTCAAAAAAGCATTTTTGGAGTGCTCTTAACTAGGAAAAGTGTGTGAAATATCTCAAGAGTGTGAGGTACTTTTATTAGACTGGTCAAAATTTTATCTTTCAATGTAAGCCACTTTGAACTACTGTTTTATACATTGCCTCCCCTATTTTAGTGGTGTGTGGAGATGTTGTTTGCTCTATATTTAGGATAAAGAAATAAGCAAAACTTAGAGAAAATGAGAATAATTTAGGCTGTAATAATATACTGTTTGAATATTATTTTGTATTGTTATTTATTTCTAATTATATTAATATACTTACTAATGAAATTTATGGCTAAAATTTGAAGAATGAGTCAACAATGTATTCAGGTGAATATAGTGGTACATCTTTGATATTATTTGAAAAGCTCATTTGTCCAAGTCAGCTCCTTATTGTGTAATAGTTTATTTTTCATTTTGATGCTTATAAGTATATAAGCTTTTACTTGAAGCTTTTATGTATATATAGCTTTTATTTGAAGCTTCAAGGTCTAATATTTAGATTTTAAAAGGAAAAGCTATTGGGAATCAGTCACCCTTCTTGTAAAAAAACACAACAAACTTGAATTAACAAAAAGCATGGTTGTAGTAGCCAGCTGATAGCATGGAGAGCTATGACTGGCAATAATGTACCTGACTAATGACATTTCTGTGCATCAGTGGTTTTCTGCTAACCTCCAAATGTACATAAGGCAGACAAAAACATCATTGCTTTAAAACTGGAGTGTAAGGAAAAATCCTGGTTTATTATTTTTGCTCTCAAATCCAATATTTTGCTTTTTCATAGATACCTTGATTGACATGAAAAAAAAAGTAATTTCAGAGGGCCAACTCTCCGAGTATGTGGAGTGTGCTCTTAAGGATACTTGGGGAAGGGGTATGAAAAATAGTCAGATCATCAGAAGATGCTAATTACAGTTTTGATTTTGGAGTTCTGTGGTAAAGTCCAGTTGGACATGGGGCATATCAAAGTAATTTGAAACAAGTAGAGGAAAGTTTTAAGGTTGTTTGAGTTTACAGAAATTTTTTGCTCTTTTTGGTGGAAGAATCTTTTCCATCTTAATGTTTTATTTTTCTTAAGGCAACCTGCTTTTTGTGGCTTCAAGTTTGATATTGTACTTTTATGTTGGTGTTTCAATTTTGAAGAATGGGGAAATATTTGAAGCAGATAATGATATAGCAATCTTTTCTCTTAATTAATCTGACACTATCTACTTTAAAAATTAACCCCAATTGAGAAAGCATCATTAATACAACTAAATTAGTTGTCCCACATAGACCCTCTGTGTGTGTGGCATGTTTTAGTTCTATTTTTGAAGAAGTTAGAAGCTATCTTTTTAGGGACATTTTCTCTTCCATGAAGTCATGTAGTCTTAAATTATTCTGAAATTACAGTATGACAAAAAAAACCAAAAAGTCGATGAGCAACTCTCTAATGTCTCTCTTAATTTCTTCAACTCTCCTCAAGGATAATCATCTTTGCTAAAATTTTCCTTATAGTTTCACTGCATGCATTGGTAAAATGGCAACTAAGCTGTAAAAGCTTATTATAGAACAGAAATATGCTCATGTATAATTTCCATGACTTTTTCTTCAGAAATATTCAGTTAATCAGAACCAGGAGGTTTTAAAGCTTCCCTTGATGTGGATACCTGTGGTTGAACGGTTCATGTGCTGTGCTAGTAAAGTTTGTCTTTTCTTTTTCCTTCAGTGGGTGGATTTCATCTCTTACTGGTCTTAATAAGAGTATCCCTGTTGGCATTATGATGATAATCATATCTGCACTTTTCACAGCATCTGCTATTATTTCATTAGTTATGTTTAAAAAGGTAAGTTACTTATTCCCCTCTTCTGTTTCCTATGTTTGTTCTGGATTTTGCTTTCCTGCTTGAGAGGTACTCTCTCACAAAGTAATGGGAATTAAATGATATTCTTGGGGGTGTGCCTTACCTTTTAACAACTGTGCTTCTATAGTACTTTTTTGCTTATACTGTCATGGAGTTATGAAATGCTGCTTTTACAGTGCACTTATTTCTGCAAACTAAAATGGGGAAGGATAGCTTTGAATGAGAGAAGTTGGAGGTAAGCCCACAATGAAAGGGTAGGTGAGTGCACTGGACACTAAGGTAGGATCTGTAGATGCCAGGTTGCATCTGTGGTGATTCATCAGGCTGAGTGAAGCGTTATTCAAATGATCGCTAAGTTTCAGCTCTTATGAAAATCATTCACATTAAAATCAGTAGAAGAGGGAGATGCCTGGCACCTCAGAAAAGGATTTTTATTCATCTGCTTATATTATTTTAACATTTTGCCATCAATTAATGATTGCATAGCATAAAAGCTCAAAGAAAGATGCTTTTCTCTCTTGGTTCCTTTTTGTGAATTTCCATCCAGAAGGCCTAAGTTTAGATACTAATATGCTAGTAAGTTTTTTATGTTGTTTTGATTAAATGTAACAGAATTCTGCTGATGATGTGCTGGCAATTCTAATAATTCAACCTCAGTTACAGTTATGCTTAAAGTTTTTCACATACCCAAACTCTTCTGGCCTGTTTACAGTAAGGTAGAAATTTTAAGCATAGCCTGGAGATGCCCCTGCTCCTTGATTGAATATGAATCAAAATTAAGACCCCTCTGAACTTGCAAAAAGTTACAGGTATCCCTACAGTCAAACTGTGTGTGCACAGCAGGGCAATCAGAAGTTGTAGGATTTATGGAAAAAAAAGTCTGTTTACTCATTTCCGGATCCTCCCAAACATATGAGCAAACCAGATTTCTCCACCACACAGCTCTGCTTCATGTTTGAGACTTTGCTATTACTCTACCAAGAAATGGAAGGCTCAGCACACTTTTTTCACTGCTTTTCCACCTCCCTAGGTGCATGGCCTCTACCGCACAACTGGTGCTAGTTTTGAGAAAGCGCAGCAGGAGTTTGCAACGGGAGTGATGTCCAACAAAACTGTACAAACTGCTGCAGCCAATGCCGCTTCAACAGCAGCAACCAGTGCAACTCAGAATGCATTCAAGGGTAACCGAATGTAGAGAAATATAAAAAGTCATGACGATTCTCTTCGACTGTACTTCATTTTCCAGTCACTTATATTCTCTAAAAACATAGATCAAAATACACACAGCATGTTTGTCTCTCCTGCAGCTGTGCATGGGTAAAATGGGAAATGTTTGTTTTATTTTATTATAAATTTATTTATTTTAAAAAGATAACTATTTTCTGCCCTTCTTTAACATGTTGCATTCTAGAATATAAAGCCTTCCATATTTTATGGAGGATAAATAATCTCAACAATTGTCCTGAGAATGGATTGTGGTATATAATGATCAAACAGATATATTAAGAATTTGGAGGGTTTTTTAGTGGTTCACTCTGTTTTTTTTTTTTAACTTCAGGAAAGCGCTTTGGATCAGTTTTTTTCTTTGTAAGAACTGTTTTCCCTATTTCTGGTATAAGAAGTGGGATAGACTGAGAGATGTAGGAAATTAGGTTTGGCAACTGCTTTTGCAATTTCAGCGGCTGCTGGAGGATAAATACAAGTAGGATAGCTATAAATTCTTTTCTTTAGAAAAGTCTTCTTAGGATAAGTCTTTTGATATAAACCTGTAA